GTAGTTCTTTTATGAAAAGATTTACAGGATTTTTCTCACCTTTTACATACTCATGTGAGATACCACAATTTTTAATTATTTTTTTTACAACATCATGTTTCATATATATGTGTCTTATCTTATAATTATAAACACTACTAGTCACAATAATTGTAACTTATTAATCACAATGAAGGGATACAAAAGATATAAGTCTCCCCCACAATAGTATATTAGTTATTAGGCCTTCTTAACTATTATGTTTATTCAATTATGAATTCCAATTCCATTATAAACCATGTTATACATATTTGTTTTGTTGATTTCTAAGAAATAATATCACTTCCTAAAGTGAATATATACTCACTTATCTCATCATTGTATGAACTCCAATTTGCATCACAAATTTTTTTTTGAAACATTTGAAAAGTTAATAAATTGCAAACTTTTATTTATATTTTTTAGATATTTTTAAAAAGATATAAAATCACTTTTCAATGATCATCATTTATACTGTAAGTATATCTACTTAATCTACTTCCTAAATATGTAATATTAATTATGGTGTAACTTATGAGCTATATAATACTATTAATAATTTTTGCATATTCAGATAAAAAACATTAATTTCATTTCTAATGATATTTCATCATTTTTTCTATATATATATATATATATATATATAAGGTTTTTATTCATGCCACCGTGGTTAGTTTTTCAACAATATATGCAGGACTGAAAAATTAAAAGAAAAATATGAAAAACATTCCCTCGTTGATTAAAATGATGGACATTAATTAATTGTCTTTACTTATCTTGCATGATACCATAGATTCTCAAAAAGCTAACCCAATAGCAAATCGCAATTGAAATAATCGAATTACACAAAGCCAAATCATTCCTACAAATAAATTCAAATATTTAAAACAATGTAAAAAAAAATAATATAAAAAATAACAACAATTAACATGAATGTAAATTTCCACACATCACGAGTAACAATTGTTAACACCGACCTGATATAATATCTGAAAATAAAACCCTAATTAAATATATCAACAAAACATGAATCAAACGAAAATGGAAAATCGATTTGCAATCCAAGCTAATCAATAGCAATTAAGTGATGCAAATTTTCTCATGCGTAATGAGAGCCACACTTAGAACAATGTTTATAATAGATAAATAGAGTAGATTCATATTTAATAATCCTGTTGTAATTCAAGCTCAAATCTATTAAAGCTTGTAATCGCAAGCGTGTGATTCAGCGGTAGAGATTGATCTACGTTTAAGCAAGGTCAGGGGTTCGAATCCTGCCTTGGGTATGCAATCGCGTTAAATCTTGGGACCTGCTATCCCACCCTTTGAGGTGCCTCCAACGCAGGAACGAACCAAAAAAATTTTATGTTGCGTACTTGCATTAAAATAAATAAAAGACAATTACCAAACTTTCTTCTTCTTATGTACAACCCTCCTCCTCTCCTTCTAGTATGTACAACCTTTTTTAGTATCATCCTGTGAGATGTTTAATATCTCCCACATGATTTCTCATGCCTCAATTTCATGTATGACACTTGTTAGATTGGACTCTCAAATATTTGTCTAAAAAAGGTTCAAATTTTGTACGACCTAAATTTTGTCTAACTTAAAAATCAACTTGAGAGGGGTTTCTTAGGATATAAGAGAGGGAGTGAATCACACAGTGGTTAGAGAGAAAAAGAAGAGAAAAAGAGAGTAGGAAATTCGGTTTGCATACATGGAGCAGTTTCAGTAAAATTGCAATCTCCACTTTGTTTACTATTGGATCCGGCTGGAAATTTGACAACAAGTTTTTAATAAAATGATCTTTGTTTTGACTGTTGAGATCGTGGATTGGAGAAATCAATTTCGCACGGTTGCTCTAATTTAAGGTTTTTTATTCTTTATTCTTCGGTTGGAAGTCCTTATTGCTTTGATATATTGATCGGTTATAAGCATTTGTTTATGCATTTGGTTAGACTCTCTTATACCTTTATTGGTTTTGTTGTTTCACATTAATTTTTTAAGTTGGGAAATTATTTTCGTTACATACTTTGATACTTTTGATTATTGTATTAATGTTTTCCCTGTTAACATCCTCTTATATGTACCTTGAAGACCATCTAAAATTTTGTTTGCAAGAAATAATATATTTTATTAAAGGAACAACATAGTGTGATAATGATCACAGCATTTATGCTAAATTAAATTGAATACTTGTACACTTATCAAACAATGATGAAGGTCACTCAAACTAAAATCTAACAGGGCAATAAGGTGTTGCATTGAGCGTCTTAAAGGATCTCTCTCGCATGGTGGTATGATATACGAGTGAAAACATTATGGAATTAATGCATATAGCCATCAATGCATTATGATGGATCCACCGCATGAAGTCCTTTGGTGGCATCGTCAACAATATCACTATCATAATTAAGTTACCTTTTATCACAATATTCAACAAATAACACATGATCAATAACCACACAAGGTGAAAACAAATGTCTTGCAAATGTACCAATTGTTGTAACACCCTCGAGTGTTGTAGGAATTGGTTGAACTACAACATGTCTCATGCTGGTTTGTCAATCATTGGTGTGCAAATGCATTGCCTTCAGCACGGGTCATATGTGCATCCTCACAATTTCAAACATGCATAGGCATATTCATATTTACATAATTTTCGTTTCTATAAACTAGTTTCCAAAATTATGGATATGTATGTTGAAAATTAAATTCCAAAACACATCTAAGAAACTGGTTTTTGGAAAACAAGAATGTATCACTCTAACATTTTAGAAACTAGTTTTTAGAAAAGAGCAAAAATTGAAAGAAAAAAAACCCAACAAACTCACTTCCCACACATAAGAGTAAAACCTACGTTATTTTCACGACCTTTCCTCTATACTTACACCCCAATTTTTATTTATTTATTATTTTATTTTGTGAAATTTTTTTCTACTCCTTCTCTCCCTTCACACCTTTCTTCCTCCCCACATTGTTCGGGCCCACACACCCTTTTCCCTTGACGAAAACCTACTTTCACTCTAGACATCTCATCTCGTAACAAAACCTAATTTTTGTTATATCAAAATATATAATAAAAAGTTTTCATTATATTTTTTCACAAAATTTTGTCGAGATATACAATTAAAAAAAATTGTTTTTATTGTATATCTCAACAAGGTCCATATGATGAAAACCCATTTTTATTGTGGATTTCGGCAAGATTTTGTTGAGATACATAACAAGAATATGTTTTTGCTAAAAGTATTTTTGTAAGAGAAAATGAAATGTGAGAATAAAAAAATGCATATAACATGGGCCTCAGTTTTGGGTTCAACGGTAATCCAAACCCAAAAGAGAAAGGATTCAATAAAATGCTATTTTAAAAAGCCTCATAATATATACATTTTTTTAATAAGTACATCATTTTTAAAAAAAAAGGCTTAAATATAACTTTTTTCTTCGTAATTTATCATTTTTTTACTTTTATTCTTTGTAATTTTTTTTGTTGTTTCATTCATAATCTTTTATAACATTTCTAAAATAGTCTTTATTGTCAATTTTCGTTAAAAAAATCCTATGTGACATATGAAATACATATTATACTCGTTTTGTTCTATTTTACTATTGTTATGTAGGTAAATTGATTTTAATTTTTTTAGACAAACTTTCAAAACACACTTCATTGTGACCATTTCATCATATTCTTCATGTACACTCTCTTTGGGTCGTGGGACATCATGTCTTGATTATCGTTGATGACAAAGTTAGGCCACTGACTTTCCTTTTTCGATGAGGTATCTCACTTATTTGTGTCTCACTCGTCGATGTTGTGACAATTACGATAAGTGATGATGGTCTTGATAATTTTAAGTCAAACTGACATAATTTTTTTTTTTTGTATCAAATAAGGCAATATTGGCAGTTATGCCAATAGGGAAAAAAGAAAATGTGAAAACTGAAAGAATGAAAACTACATAACGATATAAGTGGCGAGTGGAGGAAAACAAGGAGATGCATATGAAAATTAAAAGGGAAAGAAGAAAGAGATGTGTGAAGAAAAAAAACTAAATTGAAAGTTGTTGATGTGAAATTAAAAAATTAGAAAATAAAAAATAAAATATTTTATTTTTTTTTTAAAAAAGAAAGGAGGTGTACTAAAAAAAAATACGTATATAGCCTTTTAAACAGGGTACCTGTTGGACAAAAACAAAAAAACTGGGAGTCTGGTGGGCTTGCCTCATAAAACTTTCATCAATGACCATGTATTTCTAAAGAGTCCCTACTCTAGAAAAGTATCCCAATTACACGCCAAAACAATGTATTAACTTTCCACTCACTATAATTATTATACTAGACAAACTAATATTTTATGGCAAATTAAAATGTGAAAAAAAAGGTGATAATAAGGTCACGTTAATAAATTAAGTAAAAGTTGAAAATAAAGGCATAACATCATGAAAATGCCATTACTTTATTTGCTTCAAAGTAATGTTACTCACAAAACAAGACACCCCTACATACAACAAACAATTGTCAGCGCCGGCCATCCCATGAACTAACTATTCGAAAGAAATAAAAAGTTTTCATCCGAAATATGTATACTATTAAACATATACATCAATATGGCACTGTACGTATTAAGATCTCACAATTTATTTTGCTAAATTTTATCTTATCATAAAACATATGATATTGATTAAATTCATTGAAGGAGTAAGATGTCATAGTAAATATCACTGCAGAGAATTTATTCTGGTATCTGAATCTGAACATTGCAAAACAATACGACGGGACCACAACAGCGTGGTGATGAAAATCAAATGAGCAGTGGTGTGCAAACTCAAATATGTAAAAACCAGAAATTCCCATATTTGATTTCCTTGTTTGTAAGAAAAGGAGTCCATTGTGCCACATGTTTTAGTTTCTAAGAAAGGAAGAGAAGCCCATTTCATGTGATAAAGAGAGAGGGCCAAGAGATAGAGAGTGTGATCTAGCCTCACCCTTATTCAACCAATCACAAACTCCCATTAAATTGCTTTTGGTTAGCTCATCACAGTCCCTCCCTCCCCACACATTCCTTATCCCCACTTTCCAAGCAAACCTTCAACAAACCCCTCCTACATCACAAAACATCCTTCAAATTACATAGCTTCTCTTCCTTTCATATCCTAAAACTCAACTACACCAATCAACTAGTTATCTCCATTATTCCATACAACACTTTCAACTTTCTCCTCCTTCCATTCCATGTCCTAAACTCAACTAAACCAAAATGACAACAACTAACTCTCTCCATTGTTCCATCCAACACCATTCCCTCTCCAAACGCCACCACCCCTTAGACACCCCTCCCCCCACACCACTCTTCCTCAAACCCCCCACCACCACCATCCACCCCACCAACATCTCTCTCTCACACACCCCTTCTAACTCACACTCTCACATCACTTTCTCCCTCTCTCAAACCACCACCACCTCTCCATCCACCACCCTCTCTTACGACCTTCTCCGCCACCACCTCTCCACCAAAAACTTCCAACAAGCTGATGAGGAGACACGTCGTCTCCTCATCGTGCTAGCTGGCGAAGCCGCGCAGAAGCGCGGCTACGTCTTCTTCTCTGAGGTTCAATTCATTCCGGAACAGGACCTCAGAACTATTGACTCCCTCTGGAGGGAGCACAGTGACAACAAATTCGGGTACAGCGTGCAGAAGAGGATACTCAACAAGACCAATGGGGACTTCACCAAGTTCTTCATCAAGGTGGGGTGGATGAAGAAGCTTGACACTGAGGTGGAGCAATACAACTACAGGTCTTTTCCCACTGAGTTCGTATGGGAGCTCAATGATGACACCCCGGAGGGGCACTTGCCTCTCACAAATGCTCTCAGAGGGACACAGTTGCTCAACAACGTTCTCAACCACCCAGCTTTTGATGCAGTTGATGACAAAGAAGAACAAGATGATGCTGTCACAGCCACTGGACTAAAGGATAACAGTTCATCATCAAAGAATTTGACTCAGAAGATCTTCAAACCAGACTATAGCTTCTGAGTCTAATTCAATTTGGAGGTTAAATTTTGCGTATAAAAAAAATATATAGTAACTACTAATTTATTATCAACTACTGCAAGTGGTTGACTCGTTGTATTTTCTTCTTTTTTTCTTCCATCATACTGTATCAGTTTTTTCTTTGGCTAATGTCTTCTTAAATTCTCTTTGCCTTAATAATTAGGCTGATAGCGTTTTACAAAGTCTTGAACCAAGGTTTCACTGCGTCGTAACTCGTGTGGATACTGTTTCACTGCTGTTACTTTTGTGTTTTCGTCAAGATTAATGCAACTGCACAACTTTACACTTCAAAGGAAAGGAGACTAAAAATTATAGATGAAAAAATAATGTGCTAGTGGATATAATATTATGGAAAGAAAAAAAAAATTGGACACGCAAGAGGTGCCTACACCTTGAGTGGTAGAAAGAGGGGAGATAAGTTATTGATGTAATCGATGAAATGTGTGATAAGAAGAGAAAATAAATACAATTTAAAAGTGTGTTTCATTTATTTTGGTATCCAAAAAATATCACCCAAATATTATTGTTAGGAAGATTATAACAGGGAACAGAAAGTCCTGACCAAAGAAAGGCGAGGAGAGAGCGAGAAAAATCATCCCCTCATTTTTTTCACATCATCACCAAATTGTAGTGATATATAAGGAGAATGGCTTTATTTTTACTATTTGCTCCGTAAGTTCAGTCACTTGAAAAAAATTATAGTAGGAGTTTATATTAAAACGTAGAATAAATAATATACGTACTATCGATTTAAAAGACATTTTACACTGTAATCTTCTAATATATAGCAAGTTTATTGACATTTATAATAACTCTCCTAAAAGACATGCTAAAAATAATTTTCTGATTGTAAAAACTTTTACATCAACCGTACATACCGATTAAACTAAAATTTATACTTGCAACATTTTTGCCTTCTCATTTCCTCTCTCAATAATCCATTCAAAGTGAGGAAAGTAGCCTCTGTTTATAAGCCATTTGGCCTATTCTCCTCCCTTCTATTACATTCTCTTCAAAACTTCCAAATACAGCCTACAGTAGAGTTCTTTCAAAATTTTGAAAGGAATGATAATGTGCTAAATTTTACAACACAAGGGCAAAAGGATGGTACATATAATTTCCAAGGGTTGATGATTTACACGAGTTGCCTCCTTGGTCAGTGACATCAAATCAAGAGTTGACTCCTTCGAAACCAACCCTTCTAGGGCTTAAAAATCTAGTACATGAGATATAACAAAAAATAAGGTTTGTATCGCAACACGCAAATTAGATACTTTTCCACCTCAAGAAAATTAGCCACCCAACTCTGCAATACAGAAGAGAAATAGCCAAACTTGACTTTAGTTCCAAAGATATCTGTCTTTTCCATAACAAACATAACTGATAAAGAATGCTATTTTAATTTTTTATATAATGTACACGATATTCATCAATGTAAAGAGACCAAGACTTACCTAGCAAACACTAGGCACATGGGCACAGTCTCCTTGTGTGTTGATGTGAACCATCACAAGAAAGTATAGACTGTGTTTGAGTATATAAACATGATCCTGGACTCTGAAAGTAACACAAGCAAATATTAATATAAATGTTCGAAAACATTTTTCCACAATATACAAGTTTCTTCAGTTTTTCAGAAGTTCAAACTAACTGGATATTTCAACCATACACATTCGAGCCTTTTAATTGACACATATTTCCATATAACAAGATTTCTAAAATATTAAAAGGTCCAGATGCTTCAATTTTCATGGATGAACAATTCAAAGAAATATTGCAAGGTACATTGTACTATTACTGTATGATAAGCATGAATTTAATTTAATATAGGCTATGAAAATTAAAATTCAAAGAACCACCAACTTGCAATGATTCTGTGAGGATGCCACACGTTAAAGTAAATACTATTTTAGAGATATACAGGGTGGGGGCCACAAGCAAACTCAAATGAAATTAACAGTTTCAAAGGATCCACCAAATACCCAGTATTAGTGAGGGATTCTACGACACCATATCATCTAATCCAATTTATATAGGGAAAAATTGCCCATTAGTTAACCAGTATTCATCAGTTTCCGGAATCTAATATGTTTGTATATTTTTCCTAAATCATAACAAATATTACCAGATGTATGGGGGCATCATAAACCACTTCAGCAGGTTGATCTGATCCAACACTTGCCAAGCAAGATCCCTTGCAGCTCATATATTTCTGAATACTGCCAACACAATCAAGACCAATTGATAAGATTATTACATCAAAAGAAAAGAAACAATTATCAGCATGTATGCATGCATGATGTTCCTTCCTCACACAATATTGCTTTTTTGTGCCAAGACATTATCCATAGTATGTATGTTTGCAACAAGCATTGATAAAGGGGGAAGAAAAATGAAGAAGTCCATAAAACTGTACATATGTCACATATATAGATGAAAACCATGCAAGTTAATAAAATTAGACATCTCATGCACAGTGGGGATAAATTACACAAAGTAAAGAGTATCATTGAAATACATGCATCGACAACAGAATTTAGAACACAAATTCAATGCATCACTTACACGTCACAATGATTAAGCACCACGAGTTTATTTGGGACACACGATTGTCCTCTTAATTTGCAAACTGAATTGCATGATTCACCTTGCCTGTCAAACAAAGTGATAAAGAGGTTCAACTGCTGTGCTATAGCAAGAACCTGCAACTGCTACCCTCAACAAAAAGAAACAATCTCAGTAGTAATTCACCTTCCAACAACAACATCGATGCCATTCAGTCTTGCCTCTATGAGGGTACCATTTTTGCCTGCTTCAATACATGAAGAACATATTTCATCTAAATAGTTATAAATATAACAAAATCAGAAAAACGTGTTGGTAACAAAAGACCTAAACTACAACCCCTCCATAACAAAAACATTACGTTATTTATCTTCTTTTATAATACTAAGTACAACGTCATTTGAATGGATTGAAGCTTGCTCTTGTCAATCAATCATAAACTAGCTAACTACTAATGTTTCACCATCAATCAATTTCCGTCTGTCCAGGGCAGGCAAACCACAAAATCCTATGCTAGATTATTGCTTGGTCATCTGCATCGCTAACTAATGAGGTTTTGGAGTCTGCACGTTGGTAGGTCAAAATAGGACAAGGAACTTAATTACTATACATTAAGTCATCAACTAACATAACAATATCTTCTGCAGACTTACTAGAAGAATTTGATGGCAGAGAAAAGCAATGGTGGAAGTCACTAATGTAAGCATTTTCATGGACCTGAAACATTAGACACCCAGATAAAAACATAAGCAACTCATTGCAGGCATGTTTTTCAAGCTCTTAACTCTTATTCGCAAACAAGTTTAAGATCCTAGCCTACACAAATAGGATAACTCACATCCATACCCTTTTTGTCAAACTTGTGCCGGTTTTTGTACACTGGCAAAAACCAGTAAACTCTCAATTCAACTAACAACTTTACACATAACGTTGGCATGAAAATGCACAGTTTTAGTTGATTCTATTGGATACTTAAGTCTCCTCTGTTTGCAATATGTATTAGGTTTATGAACCTAATAATAATATTTTGTTCTGTTTTGCCAAACTACAAAATAATGTATCTGCGAAGCATTGTACAATTGTATTATAGTATTGAGTCATGTTTTCAGTTTATTAACTTTATTTATTAGACCCATGTCACAAGGAAATCTAAAGAGCCTGTCCATGGTGATGGTGCTATTTTGTTCTTCATACAACTAAAATTTAAAAGGCATGTGAACTCCTATTACTCTTGCATATGTCTGAAATAGTAACTACTATCAAACTGCATTTTAGCAACTGTATAAAACCTATACAGGGTAAACCCGTGCATAACAGACTAAAAGGGACTGGGGTTACGTACCCTTGTAATTGTGAGAGAAAAGAACAAAAAATATGCTCCAATTAAATTGTTAGGCTCATTGTGAGATAGAAGTGTATGGGAACACAGACAACTCCACCATTAATTCTAGAACTAGACTAATATGAAAAGCTTCTATATCAAGTCTGACAAAAAATTAGATGCTAGTCGCTATGAAGAGTTTCCTTTTTAATAGAATAAGCAACCTTGTCAATGAGGTGGAGTGTATGTTATTAAACGTATATCCATATAAGTAAAATTCTAAAACAAAGTTACAACTTTAAGAACGACAATATAGCAGGATCGCAGGAGTATACTCACCACACTCTCAGAACTATGACGGCATCTCCCAGCACAGTAGTCAAAAACACTTGCATAAGTCCCTGCCAAAAATCAAGTGATGTGTCAGAAATAATAAATTAAATTCAGTCTTTATTATTACCCCAACATGAATACAAGATTTCGAGTCACTTTAGAACCAATCAGAAGACAGATAACCTTGCCTAAAAACAGGGTAGAAGGAGAAAAACGAATATCTCATTGTTTATGCTTATTAAAGCCTTCCTTTTTACATACAACAGTATTCATCCAAAAAAAAAATGTCCGCTGTGAAGGCAAATACCAAATATGTTTATGAAGTCAGATATCTAGGCTAGTCAATCGCATGGCTCAAACACACGTCTACATTACAACCAAATAAAATGGCATCGTAATAAGATATAAACATTACTTGCAGTAGCAGGCTTGGAAACCTTCATCTTCAGCACTCGTTCCTTACTAGTCTGTCCAATTAAGTTAAACCAATGCACACAAAGCCCTTTACTATGTTCAATCAGATGATGCCCCAGAAAGGGGAAGAGAGAGAGAGAAAAAAAAAAAAGAAGAAAAAGGAATAGCATGCAACAGATTACCAAAGCAGGATTGAGGCAGCAGGAAACACAATATTCATAAGAGTTGCAACATTGTGAAAGAAGACTGCATCCACTGTAAATACAAACAAACAACGTTCAAAATGTAACATGCAAATAACACAGTTGTTATTTGTTAGTTCAACTGTTCTCTTCAAATGCAATAAATCAGTGAGGAAACAGAAAAACTCACTGACAAGAAAATTTCTCCCCCGTTTGAGGGCAGCAGCGAGAGCGTGAATTAACAGAGCCAGCATTACACACATAACCTACCAAAACCAATCAATGCAAAAAACCACCAATAGGTCAAATACCAATCAATATTAGAACATTGATAGCAAACATAATGGAATATAAACTAATGTTAATATATAAATAATAACGGTAATATCATAAACAAATCAAGAAAAAATAAAAAAAAGTTGTTAAGCTTGGGAGTGACGAACCGTTGTCATCTGAAAGGAGGTATCTTCCCTGAACGGTGGTTTTGCAGGAATGAATGATTTGAAAGCTAATATCCTTTCTGATGGCATAAATTGTGGATGAAAAGTGAAAGATAAATAGAAAGAGCAACGAAATTTTTACCCCTACGGTGTTCTTCCTCCTCGATGCTGATGCACACACTTCCATCATTGCTTCAGTTTCAATTCAATTCAATTTCTACGTTCGACCTCGACCTCGACCTCGATTGATCGCAGGTTCTGTACGATGTGTTCATTGGTCGCTGTTTCTAGCGGACCCAACACTTTCTGCTTACAGTTTTGGACCAGTCACAATGAGCCCAACTGATTTACTGCGGCCCATAAAATTTTGAAACTCGATAATCTTCCCCTCTAAAAATAACTAATTATAACCAAAATATTTTTATATTGTATGAGTTTTTTTTTTGTATAATATTTTTAGGAGTTATTTAATAAGACATCTTTAGTATTTTTTAAATTTAATCTATTTTAATTTTAATTTTTAATTAATTTTTTATTTTTAAAATAAATTATTAATAATTAAAATAATTTTATATCATAATATAAATTATTTATTATAAATAAATAATATATTTTATATGAAAAAAATATTTATTTATTTATTATAAAATTTGATTATAATATAATATACATACATATATTTATTATAAATTTTAGTTATATAAAACAAATATTTATCTTGTAAATAATAAAACAAATTATAATGACCTCACGTCATTTCTTTGGAATTTACATTATACATGATACTTTCCCTTTTTAACTTTGCAATTAAACTCTTTACAAAAATAAATTATGCAATATGTTTCTTTTAAATAATAGAGTATTTGGTGCAATATATTTTAAACAATTAAGAGAAGTTATAATAATAAAATATTATCTGAATTTTGAGCTAAAGAAAATATAGAGATAACAATGTAACTTATTGTAGCATTACAGAAACTGAGTCACTTCGTATTTCTGATAATTACACAAATAAATATTAGAAATTGATATAAGAAGATCTTATTTTATTATTTTTTATATTCAAAAGTATAAATATCTATTAAAAAGTGAAAATAAAAAGAATGATTACTAAAATATATCACTTTTATAATAAATATAGATAGATACATCTAGAACTTACCTCTCAATGGTATTTATAATAGTTCAAAATTCTTAAAATAATATTTGAGTTTTATGGATTAGTCGTGTCTCGAAACACTTAATTATTATTGTTACAAATAATATCATTTTTATATTATTGTTATTGTTTTACTATATTTTTAATATGAAATTGTAAGACTACGTACTTATTATTTCAAGTTTTTTAATTTAAATCTATGCTTATTATTCTGTTTATAATTAAATGTTTTAATTCATTTATAAATATTTATTATAAATTAGATTTTCACACATCATGACATACTTTTCAAAATACAATTACAGGTTTTTATAACGGGTTATATCAAACATAATTTTAAAGATCAGATCCGTCATTAAACATAAGCCAGTGAATTGAAGATTGAATCAGTGAATTACTAATTGAATTACATGATTTAGTTTTTGTTAATTTTTTTGAAAAAACATTCATGTTGAATATATTTCATACTTATAAATTTTAATAATTCATATCATATCTTAAATTTTAATTTATATATTTTTTTAATATTTTATATAAAGAAATACATGAAAATTTTGCATGTTAAACTATATATTAATACACATTAATATATATATATATATAGATATTATATATATTATTTTGTGATATTAATTACAAGTATGTTATATATATATTATTAAATATATTATTTAAAATTAATGATATATTATAATATTTATTTAAGTTACATATATTATAAACAAATATATTAGAACAATTGATCATATTCATGAATGAGTAAGTTTTTCATTATTGCATGAGAAGGTTCGTCCCGTATGTTGGACTTTCCTTTAAAAAAAAATTAAGTAATGAATGATAATGTTGGATCGAGCGCTTACCACTAGGCCAAAAAACTATAGCTGGGTATCGAACTCATGACCTTGGCTCTGATACCAATTGTTGGATCGAGCGCTTACCACTAGGCCAAAAACTATAGCTGATAGTCAGGGCGCAACTCTTTTTACTTAAGAGCGCAGCAGCCCAAACGCCATGATTCGACAGTGACTTGGCCCACCTAACTTCCACCACGAGACAATTGATGCAACCCGCAACAGATAAGATTCTTCATTCTTTCAATTCAAAACATGAAGTGAATAGACTATCGATTTCTGATTCAGGTATGAGTAACTAAGAGTTAAGACAAAAATTTATAAATTTTATTCTATATTAACTTACTTTTACTCTTTCTTTGAAGATATTTAGCATAATGTGTCATCATTTAATGAAATTAAAGTGCAATAAACTAAACATATATTAAAAAAATTAAATCATAATTCTTTTGAAGATGAACAAATATTTTATATATATATTTTTAAAATTAAATATATTTTTAGTTTTTAAATTTATCAAATTTTATTTTTAGTATATGTTTTTTTCACATGACTTTAGTCTTTAAATTTTTGACCATTTTTTACTTTCAGACTTTAATTTTTTTTGTTAATACTTTGATCTCTTACGTCAATTTTTTTTGCTAATCAAAAAAATTCCAATAATAAAGCTAAATAAAATTTATTCAAATACAAAAAAAAATTCACGATGAAAAGTGTATTTAAATTATATATATATATAATCACATATCTTATTAACACATTTCGAAGTTTATATTGAATTCTTTTGTTTGTTTATCTTATCAAAATAACCTTTTAGTTTTTTTTAATCAAAATCTAATCTTTCAATCAACAACAGTAACAAGATGTTTACGTAGTCAACATTAAATTATTATTTTTTCTCTCACTTTATTTATTTTTTTGTTTTATTTTCATTCTAACAAAAGCTAATTTTTCTCTCTTTAAAAAAATTGTATATTCTTTTTAATTTTCAACCGTTACTTCAAGAACAATGAATAACAAAATAATATTATCTATATCTATATTAATAATAAAAATCACTTTTGTATCCATAGTTTGTTTTCTAATGCTATCCTTTAAATGATTATTATAAAAAAAAAACTTATTAATTAACTAAAAAAAAATTGATTGTCTCAAAAGCACTAAGTGCCTTTTTTTTTTTTTTAATCCACTTAACTTGATAATAATTTTCATTTATGAGAATCACGTATATAAAATTGGTAAACTTTTAGAAAGCAGAGCGAAGTTAACATCATAGCCACCGGGCAATATGGCTAAAAATGTAACGTGTAGTCAATAAAGAGAAAAAGAAAGGATAACAAAGAACCTTCCTTTTTTAAAATCCAATCCAATTTCGAACCGTTGGACTTTTTCGGTGCCAGTAATCATTATATATCGACAAAAACATATAGTAAGTAAATATACACTATTATATGATTTTATTTATTTATAAAAATTAAATATATTTACTCATACAGTTATCTAATTAACTTAGACATTTTTAATACATTACATTGTATGATAATACTACTAATTTTTTTTTTACCAATTTAAGGCATTTTTCAAAACTAGTTGCCCAAATATTTGTTTAAGGTATTTTTGTCGCATGCTATTATTTTATTATTTTACATGTATATTTTACCTGAACAATAGGAGACATATACATACCATTAAAAAAAAATATATAGCAAATGAATTTGTGCCAAATATTAAGTATGTCTTACCTCTTATATATATGAAACTTTCGGGACACACGTCATAAATAATTATACCTTAAGTGAGTCTAATTTCACGGAAAATTAAAGTTAATGACATTATAATTTACACTCAATAAAATGTAATTTTTTATTTATCAAATATATAAACAATACATTCGAGACTAGCTAATTAAAATCACAAAATTTGTCATTTGTAATTAAAACTCATCGAAAATACAAATAGGCATCAACATATTTTGGTAAAGTTACTTTTCCCTTGAAATATTACTTACTTAACCATAAAGGATTGTCCAACACATGGAAATAGCAAAAAAAATTGCTCATGCAAAAAATTGCCCTAACTTAATATATATCTCTTTACAGCTTCTCAGTAATCAAGTTAAAAAAAAAGTGTGTAAATCGGTTAAAGAAAAAAAAAGTTGTAGCGTTAAAAGTTTTAATGTATCACAACTCTTTGTTGATTCATGTTAATTCCTCAAAAGATTAATAAATCATAATCATTATTCCTTTTAAAGTGATTATTATTATTATTAAAATCTCTTTATCGGTGAATATACTACCACTATAATATTATTAGTGGGATTAAGAGACCGTGTATTTTTTTTTTTTATAAATAAAAATAAAAATAAATTAATTTTTTAATAATAAAAAAATATAATAATATATCTCATTTTTTGAAATGCTTTCAATGTAGCAAGGAGATTAGTCACTGGTATTGGCGGTGGATATTTAAAAAAAAAAATAGTATATCGGTATTTATTTACTCAAAAACTCTTTGGGTGTTTGTTATTTTTTTTTTTTTTTTGACGATTATTCCTTATTTATTATGCAGTTGTGTAAGAGAAAGGATTTAAACAAATTAACTACGGGTTAACGAAAGATAGATGTGACGACGTTGAATGATTTGCGCGTAAACGATCATGAAGCGCAGCAGAGTCATCGTGCAGTCAACTTCGTAACCACACCAATGGTGACGTTAGCACCGTTTTTTTTTCTTATTAATCTTTCATTTTACGCTTTAACTCAGCAGTAGTAGTAGCCATTCATGCTGGAACGAAAGCTTTGTTTTCCGATACCATTCATTTCCAACCAAAATGTCGGTGATATGACCCCATTGCCATTATTCTTAGAACAATTAGATATTAGTAGTGTTTATTTCGCTTTGTCTTATTTGATTCCCCAAATTTTATGACTCACGTGCCGCAATTTTCCACTCTTTTCATTTCTGTCATTTCTGTACTTTTCTGTTCGAGATCAATCCAGATCGTGATCGGAGACTCTTGATTTCGTAACTGTTTGAATTTTGGGTAAGTAAGGTGTCACCTCAAGTTGTAAATTGGTTTCTCTTTTGGCCTAGTTTTTGTTTCCAGTTTCCACTAACTAGTAAGCATGATGAACAAGGATTATAGATGTAAACACTTGTGAATTTATGTTGTTGTTACTGGAATGTGAATTGTGGAGGCTGTTTTAAAAGTGAACTGATTGATATTGAGGAGATTCTCCAATCTTTCACTCTTCAGGGTCTGAAGCAAAATGGGGGTTATGTCCAGGCGGGTTGTGCCCGTCTGTGGCAACCTCTGTTGCATCTGTCCTGCTCTGCGGGCAAGCTCCAGACAACCGGTGAAACGATACAAGAAGTTGCTAGCTGAAATTTTCCCACGCAACCAGGTGACATTTTCGGCTCATGTCATGCCATATCATTTCAGAATTCAGATATCAGCTTTGCTTGTTAGTTGTTACTTATATGAGTTAATGGCTCATTATAGTTACCTCTTTGGCCGTTTCTACAATTAATGGTTTCTTCAACGTTTATTGTGAAAAGCAACAAGTATTCAATGAATGTATGTTTGACAACTCATCAAGGTTCTGCTATCCAGGAAAAAAACATGGCTATTGAAGCAAGGATTTTTGTTGATTTACCAATTATTTGGGAATATATCATGAGATGGTTTTTAAGTCTTTTGAAGGCTGGTACTTATTTTTTAAAACATGCTCCTCTGCCATCAGTTACTTCATTTTGTAATTTTTAATCTAGATTTTGCATTTCATTTATCATTTCCCTTAGCTGGTTTACCATTGACACACCTAGTGACTAGTCTATTGTGTTCTGAATAAGATTTTTCAGTTTTCTGAAGAAAGGTGGGTACAACAGGATTCTTCATGGCATTTTTTTTATGCTAGTAAATATTATCAGAATTTAATAAATATTTTGATTGCTTAGTGGAGCCCCTCTCATCCCTTTTTCTTTCTCCTGATCTTCACATCATCTAATATGCATATGATAGTTTCTGTGTTTGACAGGAGGCTGAACCTAATGATAGAAAAATTGGAAAACTATGTGACTATGCTTCTAAGAACCCACTGAGAATTCCCAAGGTAATATCACTCTTGGAAGTCTTTTATTTTCTTTATCACTTCTGGTTCAATTGTGTCATGTAATCAAGACAAATTATGTCATAACAGAATGAATTTAGACAATGATGATTCTCTTAAGAAAATATTTGATTTGATTTGATTAATATGATAATATGGTGAAACTGTTTTATGTCTAAAGTTATCTTTGGTGCAGGAGAAAATATCTTTGGCTTCCATCTGAGTTTTCTGGTATTTAATATTTGCAGATTACTGATAACTTGGAGCAAATATGTTACAAGGATTTGCGTTATGAAACCTTTGGCTCAGTCAAAGTTGTCTTGTGCATATACAGGAAATTCTTATCGTCATGTAAAGAGCAGATGTAAGTTTAACGACATGAATATAGATTGTCATTGTTCTGACAAATTTTCTTTTAATGAGTAGTTACAGTTTGCCAGAAGAAAAATTTGCATACATAAAATTTTATATCGTAAGTTTCCTGTCATTGCTTTTGTAAATCCTATATGCTCCTGATATATAATCCAATGAGAAACCTATTTCTTTTGGACAAATGCTAACTAGTGCCTTAAGGATACTATTTATGGAAACAAAAATTATATTTTTTTTTCATTGAAAAATTATTATTATACTAGAAATACAGAAGTTTTTTTTTTTTGGTAATTGAAAGCATTTAATAGGGGTGTGTATTTAATGTTCTTTTACATGTTCTCTTAGGGAACTTGTTAGCATGACCCGCTCTTTTGACTTATACATCAATATTAAGTCACTGAATATATCTAATAATCAATGTGTTTACTACACAATTTCCTTTTTTGTTATTATCTACAATCATTTGTGCAGTGGGCTGAATATCCTAAAAGTTGGGTTGAATACATTTTAAGGTGTGTGAAATAGAAAAAGATACAAAATATGATGTCATTTAAAACCCTTTTTTCATATATTATTGGCGATTTTAAAATTTTTGGTAATATAAAATAGTGTCAATATTTTTTCTTATACAATAAAGTTGTGGTTCCTTTGATTTCTATTGTTTGATCACCTCTTATTTATATTTCAAATATGTGATGGCATTTAAATGATAATTCCTAATTTGGCAGGCCACTTTTTGCTGGTAGCTTGTTAGAGATCATTCGGATTCTTCTAGAACAAACCCGAACAGATGAAATCAGGATCTTAGGCTGCAACACACTTCTTGATTTTTTAGATTGCCAGGTATTTGGTTATTTAGACCTTTCTGACTTGTTGGAATTAACATCACTATGGGATTGACTTGTGTGGGTGGTGCATAGTTAGAGAGATCTGCCATCACTTTGAATTCTTTGCTTAAATTTAAAGGTCTCTGGGTGGAAGTTCATGAAGGCAGTAAAAATGGACACCAACGAAGCTAAATTTAATCACAGTTTCCCTTGTGGGGTGGCTTGGTGGTGCTAACTGCTAACTGCATTTATACTCTGGCTACTTGCTATATTGCATGTTGCAGACCATGTATAATTTTTTTTCTTCATTTTTTCTGAAAGGCAATAGTTTTTGTGATCCTGACTTTTTAAGTTAAAAATAGACAGACGGTACATACATGTTCAACTTAGAGGGTTTTATTCCTAAACTATGTCAACTGGCTCAAGAAGTGGGGGAAGATGAGCGAGCTCTGCGGCTACGCTCAGCTGGACTACAATCTCTATCCTATATGGTAATGTTCCTTTCTTTTGTTCATTGGTTATAATGTTATATCTTTTGGAAATTTCATATTCATTCCTGTAATTTGACATAATTATGATTAAGGACTGCTCTTCATCAATCATATACACACAAGAAACCACATAACAATTCTTTTATGAATATGAACTCTTTGCATAGGAATAGAATCTAAATTGGATTTGGAGGTGAGGATAAATGTATGGTTTTTAGCAGTTTTAGTGATCACTGTTTATGCCATATGGTCATTTAGCTGTAAAAGGCTAGAAGTTTTGATTTTGTTAATGATTGTAAGAGTGAGATGTAAATAATTTGAACTGGATGGTGGTTACCTTCCCACCATGGTATGTTTTTGTCAGTTGCCTTTTAAGTCAGTTGTACCCTTTTTACTTTCCCCTTGTTTTCTGTGTCTAGGTACGTTTCATGGGTGAGCACTCACATCTTTCAATGGATTTGGATGAAGTGAGTACTATTTCCATACTTTTACACTTTTAGTTATTGTTCAATGGTATACGAAGAGACGGAAAAAAATGGGATGCATTTATTGTTGAAGTTTGATTTTTTACGTTTTTATTTATTTAATTTTCCAAATTTTGAACCCAAACTTGGGTATTTAATTTAGAGCTCAGTTTGCACTTATAGCAGTAGCAACAGACAGTTTTATCAATCTAATTATTTTCTTTTTTGTTTCTTGTTTGGGCGGCTGGGCTTTAAAATAGATCATTTCAGTGACTTTGGAGAATTACCCTAATCTCCAATATAACTCCAGATCTGCTTTGGAAGATAAATTGAATTCAGAGTCCCTGGACCTGTTAGTACAGGGATTTCCTAAAGTGGAAGATCCTTTAACAGATATCACTAAGAAGGATCCTTTGTTGCTGAAAGCTTCCACAGAAACTGAGATGGACTCTGTGTTGTATGTAGTACCTTACTTTTCTCCCCCACCCCTTATTATGAAGCCAAAATTCATGGTCTCAAAGCCCTTATGTGTTCACATCTCTTACAGGGACACTGCTAAAGATCCTACATATTGGTCAAAAATTTGCTTGTATAATATGGTCAAATTGGCGAGAGAAGCTACAACATTAAGGCGTGTCCTTGAACCTCTTTTTCATTATTTTGATACCGAAAGTCAATGGTCTGCAGATAAAGGAGTCGCTGCTCATGTTTTGTTGTACTTACAATCTCTTTTAGCAGAATCAGGTAGCCCTGCAATATTCAATGACATGGTTCTTAAAAAAAAAAAGATGTTTTCTCCAATTTCAGTGTATTGATTATCAGTATCTCTTTCACACCAGGAGATAACTCCTGTCTTCTGTTGTCCAATTTGATTAAGCACTTGGATCATAAGAATGTTGCTAAGCAGCCTATCCTTCAGATTAATATTATTAACACTACAACAAAACTTGCACAAAATGTGAAGCAACAGGCTTCGGTTGCAATTCTTGGTGCAATATCTGATCTCATTAAACATTTGAGGAAGTGTCTGCAAAATTCAGCCGAAGCTTCCAGCATTGGAAATGATGGGTCTAAGTTGAATACTGAACTTCAATTTGCCTTGGAAATGTGTATATTACATCTCTCCAACAAGGTATGCATATCATTTTGTTTCTTTTAAACTTTATGGTGCTTCTAGTATAACATTTTGGGAATAACAGGTTGGGGATATAGGACCCATTCTTGATTTGATGGCTGTGATGTTAGAGAATCTCTCAACTACAACCCTCATAGCAAGAACAACAATCTCTGCCGTTTATCAAACTGCAAAATTAATCACGTCAATCCCTAATGTATCATATCACAAGAAGGCAAGTGTTCTTAATTACTTTGACCGGAAATGGACTTTCTATACGTTTGCTAGTAAAACTGTATAAACTTTTGAGCAATTTTCCATTTTTTTCAGCCTTTCCCTGATGCTTTGTTTCATCAATTGCTCCTGGCAATGGCTCATCCTGACCATGAAACACGAGTTGGAGCACACAGTGTCTTCTCTTTGGTGCTTATGCCATCTCCATTTTCTCCCCAGTCGGACCATAAAACAAAGATGTCTCAGAATGTACCAAGCGAAATCTTCTCCATTCAGCATGAAAGCTTTTTAGGAGCAGAACAGATCAACGGGAAACGCATGGAAGGAAAGGCAGCAGTTGGTGTTAGTGGGAAATATGCAGTTCATCCATATCATGGTTACATCTTTTCTTGTGCTCTAACTGATGGAAAAGATGTACGAAAATTTTTACTTATCACTTTTTAGTTTATAATGTTTATGTTATAAGTAAATAGTATATGCAACGACAGGGTAATTTTTTTTTTAACACTCTCATCCAATCATAAACTATATTGTATGGTAAGTTTATAAACTTTTATGATAATTAACTTAAAAGTCATTTATCTACCATGAGTTTTGATTTTGGTTAACAATGTAATATTTTTTACATTGACAACGCATAGATATTAAACTCGTGCTTGAGGACCTTAGATACTTTCTTTTGCTGTAATTGCCAATTGAATATTGCATGACTTAAAATTATTAAATGTTTCAGGAGCTAAGTTCTTTTCGGTTAAGCAGTCACCAAGTGAGTCTCTTGCTTTCTTCAATCTGGGTTCAGGCAACATCTGTGGACAGTGGCCCTGCAAATTTTGAGGCAATGGGTCACACTTATAGCATTGCTTTATTGTTCACTCGTTCAAAGGTGAGATTGGTAAAATATTAAAATGCAAATGCCATTGGTTTTTTTAGATTTATAGTCACTAAAGACAATAAACTAATATTTTGGTTCATTTTCTTTAGTTGTTAGTTATTTATAACAGTTTATGGTTTAATTACCAGTTGACAGTTGCTGGGGTCTTGTGTACTATTATATCTTAATCCCATGTTTCTATAAATCAGCCTAGTTCATATTCTTACTATATTGCCTGGGTCAAGAACAACTATTATTGCATATTTCAATTTAGTGCAAAATTGTTAACAATATTTAGTGGTAGTGGCTATCATTTTGATTGTTTTAATCTTTCCGGACATGACAAAAGAAACATCATCTTTCATAATTTCTATATTAATCCTGATAGCTTATCCACCAAATAAAATACTGAATTAATTTGTCAGAGTTCATAATGATGTAAATTGCTTTCCACAGACATCCAGTTACACGGCTTTAGTAAGATGTTTCCAACTGGCATTTTCCCTCATGAGCCTCTCTTTGGACCAAGAAGGTAAGTTGAACATATAAGTGATATTTTTTATCTTATCATCTTGATGTGATTCCTTCTTTGCACTATTCTTTCTACATTAAATTGATTTGGAACTAAAACAAATTGCCTATTGTGAGAAAGTTTCATATCGCTTGCCACGATAACTGAGGTGCAATTTAAATACATGTTAGACAACTTCACTAGACACCAATTGGTTTTAAGGTGAAATTTAAGGTGGTATCAAAGCCCATAGCCCATATTCATGTACTATCTGCCCCAACTACTTGGGTGAAGTTTAAATACCTACTGGGAAGCCACCTTAATTGTAGCGCTGGCCACCGCTAGCCTGCCTTAATTGTGGCATTTTTGGGTTGCCTTCATTGCAGCTTCTTGCACCTTCATTGTGTTGTATGTGGGGGAGGGGTGTTTAATCCTACGTTGCTTAGTAATATGACCTAAGTGGTGCTAATAAGGCTTAGATGATTCTCATCTTATAAATTAGTTTTGTGGAGTTAAGTTAGACATTAAGCCCAAATACTAAGATGATATCAAATTTTATCTTTATATTCATTGTTAGGCCACTTGCATTATCAACACTCCCAACACATAGCCCTAGGCATGAGGGGGTGTGTTGGAAATCTGGCTTAATTGCAGCTGCCCCCTAAGTATTGTTTATAAGTTTTGTTTGGTTGAGTTAAAATCTAGGCCGAAGTTATATGGCCTTGTTTAAGGTTAAATTTTTTTTGTGTAAGCCCCCAATCCCCTGCTATATGATTTTCTGGAGCTTAGGAGATTCACAAGCACTGCTTTATATTCCCTAGCAATTGCAAATTCTTGTAGTCATGGAGCATTTTATAATTTATTTGAATTTTATCCTGTTAGTGATTATCCATTGTGAGTAATCCATGTTCTTAAAAATTGTATTCAAAGATCATCTCATAACAAAATAGGAAACTAGTTATCATGAGCTATATCATGCCCTGTGAAAAAGGATGGAGAGAGATTAAGAAGGACATTGGAGAAAATTATTAAAAGGGATTTCATGTTGAATAATATCCCTGAGAATTTAGTTTTAGATCAAGCCCAATGGTGCCGTGTGATCCATGTAATTAGCCTCACCTAGTGGAATAAGACTATTGTTGTTGTTGTTGTTGTTTATCCTCTTAGTGATTAGTATATGAATTAATAGGGATTTTTATACATATTGTATAATACATTAATGGGTGAGCTATATACATGAGAACCCAAAGCAAAAATGGAAAAGAATTAAAGGTAAAATTCTATGTTTTGTGGGATTTGCTAACTAGACTAAGGAATACAATTAAATGAGCTTAATTATAGGGATTCAGTCTATATCTGCTATAAATTTTTTACTAAAATAGTTGATTGACTATACATGGTTTCCACTACAAGCAATGCTGTAAATTATTTGGTTTTCCACAAACAATGGTGTAGATTATTTGTTTTGATAAAAAAAAATACTATAGAATGTGTTGTGCAAGTGTTGTCACCTTTTCACAATTTCAAGCTGTTTAGTTTATAGGTTTTGTAAAAAAATTTTGTTGACTTTGTTTTACTTTAGAAAACTAGTATAAATCCACATATTTTATTTAAATAATTTCCTGGCTCAGTATTCTAAAATTTTATGTGTTTATCCATGCATATTGCATACCATAAAGTTTTTAATTAAATAAGTTATTTGTTGCAAATTTTCTGACATGCCTGTTCTAGGAGGTTTACAACCATCTCGCAGGAGGTCTCTTTTTACCTTGGCATCGTACATGCTTATATTCTCAGCCAGGGCAGGCAATTTCCTTGAGCTAATTCCAAAAGTTAAAGCATCCCTGACAAAGACAACCGTTAGTTTCTTCTCCAAACCAAATCTCTTATCTTCATCCCCATTCTCCATCATGTCCTTGATATTCAGCTTGCGTTTCAAAATTGAATTTTATTATCTATTTGTTACTTTTGATAATGATCAGGGAAATTAATTAGTGTTATAAATCCACAGGTAGATCCTTTTCTTGAGTTGGTCGATGATGTCAGGTTGCAGGCTGTTTACATAGAATCAGAGAAGATAATTTATGGATCTCAGGAAGATGATGTTTCAGCTATGAAATCATTATCAGCAGTAAAATTGGATGACAAGCAGTTGAAAGAGACTGTAATATCATGCTTCCTGACTAAATTTTCAAAATTATCAGAGGTAATATGAGTTTCTATTCCTTTTGCTTAGATTCAAGTTTGGGAAGTAATCAGAGTTAGGACTTAGGAGGGATTACTCTGAAGTAGGCACTACTGTATTTCAGTTTTCCATTGGTTAAGGACTCCAACCAGTAAAATCACATCATAGTTGGTTTAAATGATGAATTTTGTGCTCAAGCTTTTACTGAGTATGAGATGGTTGAATTGCTTCTTTGGATTTGATGTCACTATCACCCTACTTTTGGTTCAAGGATAGAAGAACAACTAACTTTCTGCTTCTTATCTGAAATTACAAAGGTGACACTAACTTAGGACCTATTCTGATAAACTTTTTCAAAAACTAATAGGAGAAGAAAATAGGAAGAAAAAAATATGATTAGCTTTTCCATAAGTTAAAATTAGTTTATACATAAATTAATTTTTATTTTTTTGGGAGAAGTTAATATGAAAGAACTTCTACAAATTAACTTATTCATAAGCTAATTTAACTTATGGAAAAACTAATTTTATTTTTTCTTCTTATTTTCTTTTCTTATAAATGTTTTTGGATAAGTTTATTCAAACATACCTTTAATAAAGACATAACTAGTTACATAAGCCATCATTAAGGGAACACGATGATTTATCCCACATTGAAAAGCTTATGCATCAGGTTTAGTTGGGGTGACAAAAAATACTTCGGTATGCTGTTTATAAATACTTGAATCCAAATATTAATTGGTTGCATTTGGTTCAAGTTTCTACATTTTAACTTGAACTCTGTTACTGTATGTGTCCCAGTGGCTCGTGCACATCATTTGTTTTAGAAACTATCTTTTAAACCAATCTTTTTCTCATGGAGAAAAGATACTTGCAAACATTATGTTAGGTATGCCATATGCAGAATGTTACAGAAAATAGTGGCAGTTGAGTGGCTTGCAAAGGAATATAAGTAGTGGGTAAGTGTAAATAATAAATGACTTTTCCATATTAACCAGGATGAGTTGTCAAGCATAAAGAAACAACTTGTACAGGGATTTTCCCCTGATGATGCATATCCGTTGGGACCTCCACTGTTTATGGAGACACCAAGGGAATCTTCTCCACTTGCTCAGATTGAGTTCCCAGATTTTGATGAGGTAAAATTCCTCAAATTTGCTTTTGCATTTAAGTGGCTCTAGAAAACTTGTGGTTAATACTTCTATGATTGTTGTTTCTAGATTGTGGCTCCAGTAGCTTTGATAGATGAAGAGACTAGGCTCGAACCAAGTGGAAGTCAATCAGATCGTAAATCATCACTATCTAGCAATAGTCCGGACATACTAAGTGTTAATCAACTCTTACAATCGGTAAATGAGATATGCTTTTATATTTAGTTTTAGCTGATTTGCTATGTGATTGCATTTTAAAATTTAAATTAATATTGTATGCTTCAGCTGGAGAGTGGAGACTATTTTTTCTGTTGTTAAAGATATGATTTTATATTTAGTTCAAGTTGCTGGTACATGTTTGTATTTCAAGTCAATTTTGTATGTTTCTGCTGGAGGAGTGGGGACTATGTTTCTTCTGTTAATGATACTACGTGGATTATTGTATGGGTAGGTTTTGGAAACTGCACGACAAGTGGCAAGTGTCACCGTTTCCTCAACTCCTGTACCTTATGACCAAATGAAGAACCAGTGTGAAGCACTTGTAACAGGGAAACAACAGAAGATGTCGGTTCTTCACAGTTTCAAGCACCCGCAGGAGACTAGGGCAATAGTCCTTTCAAGTGAAAATGAAATGGAAGTTTCCCCTCTGCCAATTAAGGTTTGTAAAGTTTATCTTTTCAGCAAAAGAAAAATATATATAGTGAAAGAATATCTTTTTTCTTCAGGATTTGTGACATTCAATTGGTTATATTGGTCAGTTGATTGTTTGCAGTATTGACTATCCTAGTTGTGATAGGTTGTGAATTAAATATCGATCAAATTACCCTTATTAGAAAACTAGCGTAAAAGAGGCATTTCATGCCTCCGTCTACTTTCTTAAAAATAAAATAAAAGTGAAGGTTAACAATTAAAGAGTGAACAATTGTTGATTAGCTGTAATTGTTAGGATAGTTTTTGAGTAGTTTTGAAAAGTAAAAAAAAAATAAAATTAAAACTAAATAAAAAAAAGGGTGGAGAGAGAGTAATTTGAGAGGTAAACAAAATTGTCTAAAATAATATGTACACTAAAATGTACAATCCCCTTTATTATTAGTATATTAGTATGGATAAAAACAAAAAAATGAAAGTCACCCACAGAGCTAAAGACAGCCGATGCTCATTTCTCATAAAGTGATCTGTTTGTATATCATTACGAGAGTAGCCAATCAGTTGCATTATCATGATTCAGGTAATAATAAAACACGTTTTTTTCCTCTGCAATAATCTTCCACGGGTGATATTCTTAATATCTCAATATCTTATGAATCTTAACAGCTAGTTGTATTATTTAGGGGAAAAAATCACTCGCTAGCTTAAATATTTGGGGAATATATAAAGATGTACTGCAAGTGTAACTGGGCATAGTACTCATTTATTTGTTTATTGCTACAACTTATGAAGAGGTGATCATTTTGTCACACACGGTTTGAGCCTAAGGGCGACACCTTTGCATGATGCATTACAATCAGGTCCAAAGCTCAGATCAGACATGAAATTGTTTGTTAACATTGAAAGGATTATTAATTGTTACTGTGTCATTGTGTAGACACTGGAGTATTCGGAAGGGGATCTGAAGTTGGTGAGCCAGGAGCAGTTTCCAGCGCAGTATCAAGTTCGCCTCTGTTCATATGACTTTGGACAGCAATATTCTTTGAAATTACCACCTGCAAGCCCCTTTGATAAATTCTTGAAAGCTGCTGGGTGCTAATGAGACTAGATTTTCATAATAGACGTGCATGTAACTATTTTTATAGAGATGAACACCCTTCTCTGACATTCCCTCTTTTTATTTTGTCTTGTTAGTTGTCATTTCGCCATTTAGTTGGTCTTTTTGTTCATTCTTTTGTAGTGGTAAACTGGTTGTTTCTTTCTTTAGCTGCTTTGCACTCTACATGCCCAAAGTGAGTTACACAGTGCTACCTGGCACGTCTTTCTCTTTCTTTTTGTTAGGGGAGGACCATGTTTCTTCCAGCAAATGTATGATTTTGTGAGTAATTTTTCATAATAATTGTCAATATTTCAAGGGGTTTCTTATGCTTGGTTAACAAATGTCTGTTTTCACCATGTTATCCGTTCACTGCATTATGAATGAATATTGAATTGATTGATTATCAAATGCTAGGAGCTCCTCCCATGAGGAATGATATTTTAATATAATTTTGTGACTTTTTTTCTTATTTTTAAAAGGACACTCAACTGATCTTTCTAAGTAAGCAAGTTTTGGGGAAGTTATTTTTCTTTCAATCAATCCATTGTAAAAATAAATGTTATTTTTAAAAGTTAATGACGTGTACTAACTCATTTTGTTTTGCAATTTTTTTTTCTATCAATGATTATTCATCACACATTGATTTTCTTTTATTGATAGAAAAGATTAGAAACAGGGTAACAATGAGATGTTGCGGATATTACCTTAATTCCCTCGCACACGTTGATTTACTTTTACTTTCTGTTATTTAATTTTTCATAAAAGTGTAAAGTTACCACATATGACCTCTCCTCAAAAAATAAAATAAAATAACACTACCTTTTATTTATTTATTGCTAAATAAATATAAAACTTCATCAGTCAAAATCAGTTATTTATTAAATCAGTGTATTATTAATATTCCAGTGGACCGTTAACAATGTGTCAGTTAAATCAATGTATATTACTGCATCTTCTGAACTTTGAGATATAAAAGTTATGATAACTTAATTCATTTTAACCGTTAGATTTATAAAAATAAATCAGATTGTGATACGTGTACAAATGTACACGTATCACAATCTAATCTATTATTACAAATTCAACGGTTAAATGTGTTAAGTTATCCTAACTTTCCCTCCATAAAGTTAAGAGATCTATTTCCATATATTACGATGACCATGTTGTCCATTGATGACATCATCTTCCGCTGTACTTGCGCAGATGAAAAATAAATAAAACTACATTGCTAGTCAGTTAGTTTGACAATCAAAACTCATAAATTGATCACATAATTAGTTCGGACAATTAAAAAAAAATAAAATAGAAAATTGGTGGAGAATTAATGAAGCTGTTCAAAAAGGTATAAATGGGTAAAATTATTGAAACCGGTGTCCGAAACAGATTTATTTATTTTTTCTTTATTTTGTTTAAAATAATTTTAAGATAATAAAAGTACACATATAATTAGAAATTTTATATATTGATGATATCTATGAGAATTTTATTATTATTATTTTATCTAGCAAGGCATAACTTAACCTTTTCTGGACAATTTTTTTCATATTTATCAATTTATTATTTAATCCATTATACAATATTAACTATATATTAATTATCAATGATTTGACCATATCAAAATAACAAATTTTATTTGAAGATAATATTAATAGTCTTGTTATCAAATAAGTAGTTCGGACAGTTGAAAAAAATAGAAAGACAAAAATTGGTGGAGAATTAGTGAAGCAAGTAAAAAAAAAAAAATTTACATGTCAAAAGGTTAAAAATGGTAATAATTAGTGCAACCGTGTTCGAAACTAATTTAAAAAAAAGTTTTTTTTTCATTAATTTTAATTTTAGCTCTTGTTTATTCCAAAATATTTTGAGGTAATAAAAGTACATATATAAACTTTACATATAGATATTAATACTGTGGGCAGGAAATTTTATTATAATATTTTTTTAAAAATCTTATAAGACATAATTTAATCGTTTTTATGGCAATTTAAAAACATACTTAATTTAATTTTATATTCTCAATATATAATGTCTACAATATATATTAATTATCACTAATTTAAGCATAATTAAATTCAGAAATTATTATAAATCAGTATCTTTTCTTTATTGTTATCGTTCGGGTTTGATTGGTAATAGAGAACAAAAATTGGTTCCCGCCATGAAATGTTTGGGTTACGGAATGGCCCATTACGCGTTGTATTGGGCGGGTCATAGAGAACGGATCAAGTCCGTACGGATCCGGGTTCTACAGCATACAAATATTTTGCGTTTGGTTTGCAGCTGTGTGAATGGGGAGAACAGAAAAAACACAACACAATATTGTAATGTAAGAGAAGAAGGGAAAAACACAAAGGGTTTTGGTTTTGGACTCTCTAACTCAAAGTGACGCGTTTCATCATTCCTTCCGCAACCTTCTCCCAAACCCTAACCTCGTGCATTCATTCCCTGCGATCAGGTTCGCTCTCGATTTCCCCTTCTTATTCGCGTCCTTTTCTGTTTCCAATCCTCACAACACTCGCATCACTCGTAACCTCACTGATTACTGTTTTTTTTCATGGATTTTGCGTTTTCTGGTTCCTTGTTGTTCGCTTCACTCTTCGTGCTGCGAAGCCTTGCTTTTCCTTTGTTATTTTATCAATTTAGTGATGAATGCGGTGTTTGTTTCGAGGTTAGTTTCAGGCTTGCATGTTGTTGGAACCTGTCACTTGCGCTTATGTTGAATGTTGCATCTCAATTTGCGGATGGTGTTTCCGGTTTTTGTTGCAGATTCTCTGTCTGTTCCCTTATGATGATTAACATTCTGTATTAATGTAAACAAAATCAAATTAAACTTTTTAATTTCATGTTTATCTACTTTTTAAACCTTGATTATCCTGAACGTACTTTTGACTTCTCAAAGTTCCATAGAACCTTGATTATGTTATGTTTCTTGGTCTAGTATTCAAAATTTCACCCATGTAAGTGGGAAAAGTCTTCTGTTATTGTTTTTGTTGTTTCTTTAGCCAGTATAAGTTTTAAAAGGTTTTATATGATCATACCTGTGGTGAAATCCATTAGTTGTTTGTTTCATGCTTATGCTATGACATGACCAATGTGCTTTTGTCAAGCAGAAATTGTTCAAAAAACCTTGGTGCGAGATATGTAACACCAATATTAAGCAGAAAATGTGCTTTTGCCAGGCTTGGGTTTTTTGGTTAAGCTGGTGTTATTTTTGCTTGCTCCCGTGTCTTAAAAAAATTTAAGCTTCTGCTGATTTCCGCAGGTGTTGCTGACTGAGATATGCGGATAATGTAATTTATTTTAATTGCAATATTTAGCCTTGTTTAATGTATCCAAAGCGGTCAGGCCAAGATGGCCCTGTTTCCGGACAGGTGCGCTCAAGTGATAGGATCAAGACAAGGCCAAACGTTTATGGTCGGCCATTCTTGTATTATAACCAGAATCTTAGGCGCACCAGGAAAAGCAAGATGAAAACAAGGACTGCTGCTTCACAGATTGCTAAAATGTTGCGTCCAGGGAATCGAAAATCACAAGATTCTAATACTAATGTAAGTGTATCTGTGAATCAAATAAGTTCTAGAAGCATATTTCTTAATAAGGATGGCTATCTATTTTATTATTTAAATTGCATAGATTCTGTATATAAATCACCCAAATTGTCAGACATGAAATGGATGTCAATGAAATAGCCCTCGTCTAAGTCAATGTATGTGGAAATTTAAATATATCTATTAATTTACTGAGCTCATTTGGTTTGAGAATTGAGAAAACATATTATATTGTCCCTTTATTTCCTGTTTCCAAATGTTTGTATGGAAAATAGTGAAAACAGAAAACAATAAAAAGTTGTTTTTCACTATTTCCTACATAAACTTTAGAAAGCAAGAAACAAAATGAAAACAAGGGGGGCTTTTTTGTTATTAAAAGTGAAAATAGAAAATAAAAACAGGAAATGTTCTTTCAAGCCAAATAGCCCCTAAAAAAATTCACAATTTTCTATTTTATTGTTTTTACAGTTTTTAACTTATTTATCTGCATTTTGTCAATTTAAGTTTTTATTGTTTTTTCAACAGAAGTGCCAAATAGATTAACCCAATTGTGAAAGAACAATATCTTGAAGCAAGATTTATTTACTGCTTCTTTACTGGCTTAGATTTTTGCATCCAGTTTGAGTTTTTTTCACCTTGCTATTTTTCAATATTTCTTTAAACTTTCCCTATTTCTTGGAAACCCTAAGAGGAGCTGAGAAACCTACTTTATCATTGTACTGCTTTGTTCTTTCCATTTGTATTCTTTGCTTGACTGTTGACTAAGATCTTTGGATCCTTCTGCATCTTATCATGTAAATCTTCATTCCATTTTACTGATTTACAGTCCTCTAGTTTGAAAATTTTCTATATCCGTCTCTTTCTTCTAAAGGTTAAACCCCCTTCTAACTTAAATGTCAAGACTTTTATGTGGGTAATGGTACTTAATAGAATTAAGACAAATGGTCTGTGTATTGAGTATGATTGTATACAGTAGCCTTTTCCTTGTTTTGGCCTCTTTTAACTTCTTTTACAGATGCAATTGATTGTTTTTGATGAATTTGTATAATTTCTTAAAAAGACTAACTGAAGGGAGCGAAGTTAGTAGGCAGTGATGGATTAAATTTTCCTAGTCTTGCACTTCTGTGTGTATTTCTTCCACTTGTTGCTCAGAATCATGTCTTTTTCTGAATTTAATCAGATGATAATTATAATGTTGGTTTTGTTATATGGGATATTTTAAATCCTCTGGTTGTGTTGTATATGGTTCTTACAGTCTGGCTCTGCCAACCTTCGACGTTCAACAAGGAAGAGAAGGCTTAATGTAAATCTTGAAGATTTTACGGACAGCTCTGGAGCTGAAGATGAAGACTTAATGGTGAGGTTATATACTCCATTCAATATAAATTTTTGGGTGATAAACTTGAATTTCCTATTATTTGGGCTAAAGGTATGTGGTCATGTTTCAGAGACCTAAATATCCACCCCTGAGAAGTCGGATTAACAATAGTGTCAGACAGGATGGTTTGATGTCTACTAAGCGCAAAAGAGCAGTGGAGACTAAACCAACACCCCGACGTGAAGGTCTACGTCCTCGTCGTTCAAAGGGTGCTGCAATAGAGCGATTAATTTCAGAATCAGATGATGAGCAAGACCTTTCAGAGGAAAAGGTTGATCAGGATGAAACAGAAAATGGAAATGACATCGAGGAAAATGATGCAGATGATGGCCAAAATGAGATTGAGGGGGACGCCGAGGGTGAAGATGAAGGTGAGGATGAAGGTGATGAAGATGGTGATGATGAAGAGGG